TTTTCCATGTGTTACATTGTGCAATCAGACACCCTGTCTATTCCGACACAAAATTTGTCTCACAGCGTATGTCGGATTAGACAGGTTTCACTATACATTTACCTGGGCTTTGCGTTTTTCCCTCTCGTTGAAGATAGCCGATGCAATCTGTAGATTACTGACACTCGCTGACATATCCTGTGTCTCCGGGGTTACCCTCATTCTGAATAACAACTCCATCTATAAATAGAAACATTATAAACAACATACAGTAGAACTTGTTCAGTACGAACATGGAAATATTGTAAATTCAAGGATATAGCAAATTTATTTTTGATCCCCAACTCTATAAATTTAACAAATTCCTTTCACGGATATAATGAATTAAGAATATTTCGTACCTCCCACTGAACCCAGTTTTACTATACAGCAAAACTCGTTTAGTACGAACATGGATATTGAGAATTTACGGATATAGCGAAGTCATCTTTGATCCCCAGCTTTATAAATTCAATGGATTTCTTATATGGTTATAATGAATTACGGATTTAGTGAAGTAATTTCATAGGTCCCAGTGACTTCGTTACAACCCAGTTTTACTGTAGTTTGAAAAAAGAAAATGGAGCCCCATTGTAAGTGACTTGATACTGTAATCAAAGCCTCTGTCCATACTTACACTGAGCAAGAGAGCATTAGACGTAGGATCCATCTGATCTTCAATCAGAATGATTTCTGGTTTCTCCATGGTAACGATGATTGACATTTCACTGGTAGGAGGAGGCGGGGCTTTAGCTGGGGTCACAGCTGTCAATCAAATAAATACTTGTCATCAGTACTTGAATTTCAGACATGTTGGAATAGCCACAAGGACAACCAAATAAGAAATATTAGGTGAATAGGAAAATTCACTCTGCCTACTTAGAAAATGTGAAACACAGGGTTTAAAAATTTCTCATTTCTTGATGAGAGAAGACACAAAAATACAGACCTTTACTCTGTGTTTGTGTTTGAGTCTGCTGAGCTGTTGATACAGACCTTTACTCTGTGTTTGTGTTTGAGTCTGAGTTGTTGATACAGACCTTTACTGTGTGTTTGTGTTTGAGTCTGAGTTGTTGATACAGTCTTTACTCTGTTTTTGTGTTTGAGTCTGAGTTGTTGATACAGACCTTAATTCTGTGTTTGTGTTTGAGGCTGTACTGTTGATACAGACCTTTGCTCTGTGTTTGTGTTTGAGGCTGTACTGTTGATACAGACCTTTACTCTGTGTTTGTGTTTGAGTCTGAGTTGTTGATACAGACTTTACTCTGTTTTTGTGTTTGAGTCTGAGTTGTTGATACAGACCTTTACTCTGTGTTTGTGTTTGAGTCTGAGTTGTTGATACAGACCTTTACTCTGTGTTTGTGTTTGAGTCTGAGTTGTTGATACAGACCTTTACTCTGTGTTTGTGTTTGAGTCTGAGTTGTTGATACAGACCTTTACTGTGTGTTTGTGTTTGAGTCTGAGTTATTGATACAGACCTTTACTCTATGTTTGTGTTTGAGGCTGTACTGTTGATACAGACCTTTACTGTGTGTTTGTGTTTGAGTCTGAGTTGTTGATACAGACCTTTACTCTGTGTTTGTGTTTGAGTCTGAGTTGTTGATACAGACTTTACTGTGTGTTTGTGTTTGAGTCTCAGTTGTTGACACAGACTTTACTCTGTGTTTGTGTTTGAGGCTGTACTGTTGATACAGACCTTTACTGTGTGTTTGTGTTTGAGTCTGAGTTGTTGATACAGACTTTACTGTGTGTTTGTGTTTGAGTCTGAGTTGTTGATACAGAGCTTAATTCTGTGTTTGTGTTTGAGGCTGTACTGTTGATACAGACCTTTACTGTGTGTTTGTGTTTGAGTCTGAGTTGTTGATACAGACCTTTACTGTGTGTTTGTGTTTGAGTCTGAGTTGTTGACACAGACTTTACTCTGTGTTTGTGTTTGAGTCTGAGTTGTTGATACAGACCTTAATTCTGTGTTTGTGTTTGAGGCTGTACTGTTGATACAGACCTTTACTCTGTGTTTGTGTTTGAGTCTGAGTTGTTGATACAGACTTTACTCTGTGTTTGTGTTTGAGTCTGAGTTGTTGATACAGACCTTAATTCTGTGTTTGTGTTTGAGGCTGTACTGTTGATACAGACCTTTACTCTGTGTTTGTGTTTGAGGCTGTACTGTTGATACAGACCTTTACTCTGTGTTTGTGTTTGAGTCTGAGTTGTTGATACAGACCTTTACTCTGTGTTTGTGTTTGAGTCTGAGTTGTTGATACAGACTTTACTCTGTGTTTGTGTTTGAGGCTGTACTGTTGATACAGACCTTTACTGTGTGTTTGTGTTTGAGGCTGTACTGTTGATACAGACCTTTACTGTGTGTTTGTGTTTGAGTCTGAGTTGTTGATACAGACTTTACTCTGTTTTTGTGTTTGAGTCTGAGTTGTTGATACAGACCTTTTGCTCTGTGTTTGTGTTTGAGTCTGAGTTGTTGATACAGACTTTACTCTGTTTTTGTGTTTGAGTCTGAGTTGTTGATACAGACCTTTACTCTGTGTTTGTGTTTGAGTCTGAGTTGTTGATACAGACCTTTACTGTGTGTTTGTGTTTGAGTCTGAGTTGTTGATACAGACCTTTACTGTGTGTTTGTGTTTGAGTCTGAGTTGTTGATACAGACCTTTACTGTGTGTTTGTGTTTGAGGCTGAGTTGTTGATACAGACCTTTACTCTGTGTTTGTGTTTGAGGCTGTACTGTTGATACAGACCTTTACTGTGTGTTTGTGTTTGAGTCTGAGTTGTTGATACAGACCTTTACTCTGTGTTTGTGTTTGAGTCTGAGTTGTTGATACAGACTTTACTGTGTGTTTGTGTTTGAGTCTCAGTTGTTGACACAGACTTTACTCTGTGTTTGTGTTTGAGGCTGTACTGTTGATACAGACCTTTACTGTGTGTTTGTGTTTGAGTCTGAGTTGTTGATACAGACTTTACTGTGTGTTTGTGTTTGAGTCTGAGTTGTTGATACAGAGCTTAATTCTGTGTTTGTGTTTGAGGCTGTACTGTTGATACAGACCTTTACTGTGTGTTTGTGTTTGAGTCTGAGTTGTTGATACAGACCTTTACTGTGTGTTTGTGTTTGAGTCTGAGTTGTTGATACAGACCTTTACTGTGTGTTTGTGTTTGAGTCTGAGTTGTTGATACAGACCTTTACTGTGTGTTTGTGTTTGAGGCTGAGTTGTTGATACAGACCTTTACTCTGTGTTTGTGTTTGAGGCTGTACTGTTGATACAGACCTTTACTGTGTGTTTGTGTTTGAGTCTGAGTTGTTGATACAGACCTTTACTCTGTGTTTGTGTTTGAGTCTGAGTTGTTGATACAGACTTTACTGTGTGTTTGTGTTTGAGTCTCAGTTGTTGACACAGACTTTACTCTGTGTTTGTGTTTGAGGCTGTACTGTTGATACAGACCTTTACTGTGTGTTTGTGTTTGAGTCTGAGTTGTTGATACAGACTTTACTGTGTGTTTGTGTTTGAGTCTGAGTTGTTGATACAGAGCTTAATTCTGTGTTTGTGTTTGAGGCTGTACTGTTGATACAGACCTTTACTCTGTGTTTGTGTTTGAGTCTGAGTTGTTGATACAGACCTTAATTCTGTGTTTGTGTTTGAGGCTGTACTGTTGATACAGACCTTTACTCTGTGTTTGTGTTTGAGTCTGAGTTGTTGATACAGACTTTACTCTGTGTTTGTGTTTGAGTCTGAGTTGTTGATACAGACCTTAATTCTGTGTTTGTGTTTGAGGCTGTACTGTTGATACAGACCTTTACTCTGTGTTTGTGTTTGAGGCTGTACTGTTGATACAGGCCTTTACTCTGTGTTTGTGTTTGAGTCTGAGTTGTTGATACAGACCTTTACTCTGTGTTTGTGTTTGAGTCTGAGTTGTTGATACAGACTTTACTCTGTGTTTGTGTTTGAGGCTGTACTGTTGATACAGACCTTTACTGTGTGTTTGTGTTTGAGGCTGTACTGTTGATACAGACCTTTACTGTGTGTTTGTGTTTGAGTCTGAGTTGTTGATACAGACTTTACTCTGTTTTTGTGTTTGAGTCTGAGTTGTTGATACAGACCTTTACTCTGTGTTTGTGTTTGAGTCTGAGTTGTTGATACAGACTTTACTCTGTTTTTGTGTTTGAGTCTGAGTTGTTGATACAGACCTTTACTCTGTGTTTGTGTTTGAGTCTGAGTTGTTGATACAGACTTTACTGTGTGTTTGTGTTTGAGTCTGAGTTGTTGATACAGACCTTTACTGTGTGTTTGTGTTTGAGTCTGAGTTGTTGATACAGACCTTTACTGTGTGTTTGTGTTTGAGGCTGTACTGTTGATACAGACCTTTACTCTGTGTTTGTGTTTGAGTCTGAGTTGTTGATACAGACTTTACTCTGTGTTTGTGTTTGAGTCTGAGTTGTTGATACAGACCTTTACTGTGTGTTTGTGTTTGAGGCTGTACTGTTGATACAGACCTTTACTGTGTGTTTGTGTTTGAGGCTGTACTGTTGATACAGGCCTTTACTCTGTGTTTGTGTTTGAGGCTGTACTGTTGATACAGGCCTTTACAGTCCCTGAAACGTTCTACTTTCCCACCTGAACGGTGAACGAACGCTGAGCGAACGCTGAACGAACGGTGAACGAACGCAGAGCGAACGGTGAGTGAACGATGTGCGAACGGTGAACGCAACTTGGTGAACGATGTGTGAACGGTGAACGGTGAGTGAACGCAGAACGCGAACGGAGCGCGAACGCGAGCGCAATGTGAACGGTGAACGAACAGTGAACGCAAGATGAACGATTTATTCGGAATGCCTTCGGTGTTTTCCTTGTATTGAAATTATTCTTTTATTCTATTATTCAAATGTCAAAAATAAATATAAATACACAATAGATAAACAAAAGAAAACTAATATATAAATAAGTAAATAAATAATAATATTAAAAAATTCTACACATACGTATGTTTAAATCGATATTTTAATAACATGATTTTAATCGCTGTCAAACGTGTATTTGTTTCCGCGTGTAGTTAAAAAATAAATTAATCTTACAAAGTAAATAATTATGCTTATTCTTTTAACTAATAAAATAATGTGGACTTTAGAAGATAAAACTGCTACTGAGATAAACAATAGATAAACTATTAATTAAATAAATAAATAAGTAAATAAATAAATTAATAAATTAATTAATCAATAGATAAATAAATAAATAAAAACATTTTTTTCTGCACATACCTATATGTTTAAATCGATATTTTAATAACATGATTTTAATCGCCGTCAAACGTGTATTTGTTACCGATTGTACTTAAAAAATAAATTAATCTACTTATATAGTAAATAATTATGCTTATTCTTTTCACTAATAAAATAATGTGGACTTCTGAAGATAAAGCTGCTACTTATAGAATGAATTAATTATATTTTACGAAGTTGAAACAACCGTACATGTATTTCCGTGCCAAAGCGATTCTGAGTAAAATAACGGATTTTTTTAAAATTCACAATTATCTGTTGACGTTGACTGTTATCGTACTGCATAAAAATTCTCGTTTTATTGAAATTCTACTACAAAATATTCTATATTTATATGCCTTTTATTCTTTTATGACGATTATTTTAGCTAACTTCTTCATGTACATGTATCTGTAGACATTTCCCGGCCGTGATTATACTCGGTCAAGATGTTGGAAAGAGGCATTCAAATTATTTGTAATACATGTGTAGATTAAATTTTCAAAACTAAATAAGTAATGTGTTGTCATAGTTTTTATTGAACAGAGAAATGTTCGAGAGAGAGAGAGGGAGAGAGAGAGAGAGAGTAAGATAGAGAGATAACCCCCTCGATTCTCAGATATATGTTGTATCAAATAAAAATTTTAATTATTTATGCTAAATATTCCAAGCAATAAAGGTAATAAAGGTAATCTTTTTTTAAAGATTAACAAATCCATTTGACAGTAATCATTGGCTTTTATTTTCCATCATCAAGTTCACACAGTTCACAGGAAGTCCGTGCTATATTTGTAGTAGCGTGCTTGTGCTGTCAATCAAAATAATTCGACACAGTAGAGGTGTGGAAATCGCGTTACACCGAACATGCCGAAGGCAAGGAGTCACTTAGTATGCCAAGAAGCTTTAATATTTTTCCCTATCATTTCTAGATCTGATTTTTACATTCCTGCAGAAAAAAAATAATTCGGATAGATTAAGTTTTAAATTGAAAGTGAAACATATTCCCTGCCAATTTAAAATACTACTGTCGGCACAAGTTTATACTAAAATACTATTGTTTAATGACTGTTTGATGTTGGTTTTAAGACTGATTTTCTTGTGTTACAGTAAAAATTAAATATTGATTAAAATATACTGAAAAAACTCAATAAGAATTTTATTTCGGGAGAAAAGGCACCGGGGGGGGGAGTGTCTTAATTATACTGAATAGCAAAACAGATATTTTTAAACATGTTTAGGTACGGAGAAGGAAGGAAATTTTCTTCTCTAATAATAGACTATTTTAAACAGTTGGTCTTTTCTAGAATTTAAATCCACACCATCAACTTAATTAGCTCTAAAGATATTTAATTAACTGAATATTTGCAGTACTGTTCATAATTCCCAAACCTACATGAAGTTTAAATACGTGTTACTGTAGAAATAATTTTTTTATGTATTCTTGTCCTGTAAAAGACTTGGATTAATTATTATACATCCATTAATAATTTGTCCTCTTTAAAATTACATCAAATTGATGCCATGCGTGAAGCATTTGTACATTGCCCTTTTTTGAATTTAATATTTTAGCATCGCTCTACATACATGTAGGTACTTAATGTATTAATTATTTTCCAGGGAAAATTCATAAAATAAGTAACAGCTGAGTTATTACATGTACAAATGTTTAATAGAAATATAAACATCATAGATAATTTTTGCAACGAAATAATTCTTCTTTAAACACGATATCTAAGTTATTTAATTAAAAAACATGTAAATCCTTACCATCAAAAAGATAAGTCCTTTCACTTCGGAGTTCCGAATGACAATGAAGACTGAACGATAAGTGAACGGTGAACGCAAGGTGAACGCAAAGTAAACGGAACGAAGAGTGAACGGTGAACGTTTTGTGAACGGTGAACGCGAGCGCACGGTGAACGGTGAACGCAATACTGTGAACGAAGAGCGAATGGTGAACGCACGCTGAACGAACGGTGAACGAACGGTGAACGAACGCTGAACGAACGGTGAGCGAACGGAAAAATGGGAAAGTAGAACGTTTCATGGGACTGTACTCTGTGTTTGTGTTTGAGTCTGAGTTGTTGATACAGACCTTTACTGTGTGTTTGTGTTTGAGTCTGAGTTGTTGATACAGACCTTTACTCTGTGTTTGTGTTTGAGTCTGAGTTGTTGATACAGACCTTTACTCTGTGTTTGTGTTTGAGTCTGAGTTGTTGATACAGACCTTTACTGTGTGTTTGTGTTTGAGGCTGTACTGTTGATACAGGCCTTTACTCTGTGTTTGTGTTTGAGTCTGAGTTGTTGATACAGACCTTTACTGTGTGTTTGTGTTTGAGGCTGTACTGTTGATACAGACCTTTACTCTGTGTTTGTGTTTGAGTCTGAGTTGTTGATACAGACTTTACTCTGTGTTTGTGTTTGAGTCTGAGTTGTTGATACAGACCTTAATTCTGTGTTTGTGTTTGAGGCTGTACTGTTGATACAGACCTTTACTGTGTGTTTGTGTTTGAGTCTGAGTTGTTGATACAGACCTTTACTGTGTGTTTGTGTTTGAGTCTGAGTTGTTGATACAGACCTTTACTCTGTGTTTGTGTTTGAGTCTGAGTTGTTGATACAGACCTTTACTGTGTGTTTGTGTTTGAGGCTGTACTGTTGATACAGACCTTTATTGTGTGTTTGTGTTTGAGGCTGTACTGTTGATACAGACCTTTACTGTGTGTTTGTGTTTGAGGCTGTACTGTTGATACAGACCTTTACTCTGTGTTTGTGTTTGAGGCTGTACGGTTGATAAAGACCTTTACTGTGTGTTTGTGTTTGAGTCTGAGTTGTTGATACAGACCTTTACTGTGTGTTTGTGTTTGAGTCTGAGTTGTTGATACAGACCTTTACTGTGTGTTTGTGTTTGAGGCTGTACTGTTGATACAGGCCTTTACTCTGTGTTTGTGTTTGAGTCTGAGTTGTTGATACAGACCTTTACTGTGTGTTTGTGTTTGAGTCTGAGTTGTTGATACAGACTTTACTCTGTTTTTGTGTTTGAGTCTGAGTTGTTGATACAGACCTTTACTCTGTGTTTGTGTTTGAGGCTGTACTGTTGATACAGACCTTTACTGTGTGTTTGTGTTTGAGTCTGAGTTGTTGATACAGACCTTAATTCTGTGTTTGTGTTTGAGGCTGTACTGTTGATACAGACCTTTACTGTGTGTTTGTGTTTGAGTCTGAGTTGTTGATACAGACCTTTACTGTGTGTTTGTGTTTGAGTCTGAGTTGTTGATACAGACCTTTACTGTGTGTTTGTGTTTGAGTCTGAGTTGTTGATACAGACATTTACTGTGTGTTTGTGTTTGAGTCTGAGTTGTTGATACAGACCTTTACTGTGTGTTTGTGTTTGAGTCTGAGTTGTTGATACAGACCTTTACTCTGTGTTTGTGTTTGAGTCTGTACTGTTGGCTGTGAGTCTGGTAGTCCACTGGTTAAAAAGTCACCCAGAGGTACCAGGAAGTCCAGGCAGGCCACCACCCTGATACTGGATATCTTCACTTGGACTGAAATAACAAAACAACAGAATGATAACAGCTAGGTATCTTCACTTGTAATAATATTACAAAACATTAACAGCTAGATATCTTGTACTAGAATAACACAACATTATTGTACTAGAATAACAAAACAATAACAGCTGGACATCTTCACTTGCACTAAAATAACTTAATGATAGCAGATGAATATCTTCCAGAAGTTTTTATTCTTAAATAACAACTAATAGCAGCATGATATCTCCACTTGTATTAGAATTATAAACCAACAAAACAATAAAAGCTATCTCTCTCTGTCTTGTTCTCTCCCCCCCCCCCCCCCCTTCTCTCTTCTCTCTCTAATACTCACTGTCTTTATCTTGGTTCAGTTCCTCTCTCTCTCTCTCTCTTTCTCTCTCTCTCTCTCTCTCTCTCTCTCTCTCTAATACTCACTGTCCTTATCTTGGTTGGGTTCCTGGGTGAAGTTTACATCTATCATATTCTCCTGCTTCCCTTCCCCTGTAAACCTCTCTATCATCCTTAAAACAGTAAAAATATACTCTGAAGAGGAAATTCTGGTGAAAGCATGGATAGACACATGGAATGTTGGATATTTGTATGGGTATAAAGAAACAAATGAAGTTCAATGTGTCAATTGTATGTAGAACAGATTACATGTAAATGAATGATGAAAAAATTGGATGCAAAAAAGGTAATTTGATTGCTTCATGATACAAAAATAATAAGTGTGAACAACATGAATTGATCTCAGAATAAGAAAGAGCTTATGGATGCAACACTGGGCTTTATAAATGAATAAATCCAACTTTGTTTCATACAGTATATCCTACAAGAGTTTGGAAGCTGGCAAAATACTTATATTTCTTCTAGTTCAAATTCCTAGTAACATTTCAGTCTTTTAAGACAAACAAAAATGAATACTGTTATAATATATCCTTGCCACCACACAGACCAAGGGGTTTCCAGGGATATGGATATGTTTTATCTTTAAATGTTTTTCATAAGGGGATAAGAGTAAGGAGTTTCTATTCTATATATAATTGGAAATAAACAAACCTATTTTGAAATGTTTTCTTACAAGAGAGGACAAAATTTCATAAGAAATTTTAATCCCCCCCCCCCAAAAAAAATCAACAAATTAAAGATGCATGCAATTAAAAAATCATATAGTTTTAAATATTCAAATTAAAAATTTTTGTGAATGACACAATTCATGCAAACTGCTGAAATGTTAAAAATAATAATTCAGAATTTATTTTCAAAAATTCTTTTCTATGCTACAAAATGCTCTAGAGATTCTCTTTCATTCAGCGATGAAACGATGCACTTTCAAAGTACTAAGACAAGTATGAACCTTTAGGATGAAAAAAAAATCTAGAATTCCTGAAAAAAGTCAGTCGGACAGATTCCAGAGTAACTTCCATTCGCTAGATTATAAGAAAGCAACAGTATTTCCTCAGACCACTAGTGTTTTCTTGTGACACTAGAACAGTAGGAAATTACATTTCAAATGCATTGTCACACAAAATCATACCGGTTTTCACCTAACAGCTGAAGATAATTCCTACTGGGTCAATCATGAGCTATACCCAGCAGGCTCTAACAACAACTACATATGATAAATATATTGTGTTAGTAAAAAACACATGCAGAAATTAATTATTTACCTGATGGCACCTTGTGAACTAAGCAGTGAAACAGTAAATGATATCAGTAATATTCTTAAGGGCAACACAACTTAACTTACATCCCGCCATTATATCTGTGTAAACATGATACCCTTACCATGGTTACTGATGCTCAGTGGGAGTGAACTATCTCAAGTCTTTTTAAGTTTTGTATACAGTATCATGGATATTTTGTAGTGAGCATCTAAATTTTTGCATAATGATTATTATCAATGGACTTATTAATGCTTAAAAATTAGTTTTATTAAATTATAAATTATCGGAACAAAGATTTCTTCACAGATTAAGTATTTCAATAAATGAAACCTGAAATATTACTATAACTTCACATAATTGATAAAACACAAGGAATATTGCCCCCCCCTACACATTCCTACCTCTTATTTTTCTTTCATTACCTGTTGACTCCTGCTTTTTCTTGTTTCTCCTTCCTTTTGTCATCCAGTACAGTGTCCTTGAGGATGACCTTGGTTGTCATGGAGCCATCACTCTTCATTTGACCATTGACCCTGATGACCTCCAGCATGAACTGACCTAGGGCATTATCAGCTGACCTGGAGTTCTCTCCATCTTTTGTCTGAATTCAAATAAATAAGGACATTGTGACAAAATACATTATAATATTTTGTTTGTAAATGCCATATGGTAAAATGTTTTTCCACATAAAATCCTTTCAATGTCCTTGGCTGTTCTGAATAACCATAAAAATTAGCAATGAAGAACACTAGCTGGATCATCCTTTGACTTTTTCTAAATTTTTCTTTTATTATACTTAATTGGCCCATTTTGTTACAATATCTTTCTGATATCTCTCCCTTTATATTATCATATAACATCTGACTCACCAGATTGCTCTCCCCTGTGTAGAGAGTGGCAGACAGTGTGGTGATCTGGAACTCAAACTTGAGCTGTGTGTGGAGTTTGAAGGAATCAGACTGCTCAGGGGGAGTAACTGTGATGGACGGGGAACCCGCTGTTAGGGGAGAAAATTCTTCACAATAACTTCACTTTATTCTGATATTTCATTGTTTTTAATTGAAGCAGTGTCACATATATAAATTCACAATCTATAGATAACATCATATTCTATAACCTGATGATACTCTGTAACTAAATAATATGCACAATTCAGTAATCCTGATTATCCTTGTAATTTGTTACAATAATTTTATTTTTAAACTCATGGATGAAAATCTATCAACTATAAATGCTACTGAGTGAGTTTTTTCACAGATCAACACTCACCAGTGGTTGCCTCCTCCTGTTGTGTCGGGGGAATCTCTGCCTGTGTCAGCTCTGTGTCCTTGACCTTTGGTTGCTTAGCGACACTCTCTGACTTCTGACCCTCTGACAGGTTGTCATTCAGTAAGGTCATTATTACCTTGTAGTCACCCTGACTCATGGTAGCCTTATAAAAAAACATAGGTAATCAGAGATAACAGAGCTCACCTCAACGAATGTTGTCTTTAAGTAAGGCAAAGTCACACAATTAACCAACAAAAAGTGTACATCCAAAAATGCAAAATTTATGCAATTTTGATTTGATACTTTGGAATAGACCTATATAAAAACGTCAAACTAGTTCCTCTTCATGAAAACGTAATTAAAATCTAGCATCTGAAGCAAGTTTGAGAGTTTTCATCCCTTGATGCATCATTTGTGCAAGTTTGGTTTATATAAGCCTTATAGTTTCTTGGTAATAGACCTGCACCCATAACTTTTACGAGGTCCATTATCTGGAAAATGTATGTCAAATTCAGCATCTGAAGCAAGTCCATTAGTGTGCATCCAAAGATGTATCATCCATGCAAGTTTGCTCAACATAGAGCTCAAAGTTACTTGGAAATGAAACCTGTATAAAATCTCACCTTTTCACTAATCCAGAAAATGTTGGTCAGATTCAGCATCTGAAGCCAGGTTGGTAGAATGCACCATTAGATGTACTATCCATGCAAGTTTGGTCATTATAGGGCTCATAGTACCTTGGAAATGAAACCTACACCAAAAACTTTAAGCTATTTACTCAACTGGAAAATGCAGGTCAGATTCAGCATCCAAAGCAAGTCTGGTAGTATGCATCCTAAGATGTACCATCCATGCAAGTTTGGTCAATATAGGGCTCATAGTATCTTTGAAATGAAACCTGCACCAAAAACTTTAACCTGTTCACTCAACCGGAAAATGTAGGTCAGATTCAGCATCCGAAGCAAGTCTGGTAGTATGCATCCTAAGATGTACCATCCATGCAAGTTTGGTCATTATAGGGCTCATAGTAACTTGGAAATGAAACCTGCACCAAAAACTTTTACCTGTATACTCAACTGGAAAATGTAGGTCAAATTCAGCATCCGAAGCAAGTCTGGTAGTATGCATCCTAAGATGTACCATCCATGCAAGTTTGGTCAACATAGGGCTCATAGTATCTTTCAAATGAAACCTGCACCCAAAACTTTAACCTGTTCACTCAACCAGAAAATGTAGGTCAGATTCAGCATCCAAAGCAAGTCTGGTAGTATGCATCCTTAGATGTATCATCCATGCAAGTTTGGTCACGATAGTGCTCATAGTTACTTAGAAATGAGACCTGCACCAAAAACATAAACCTGTTCACTCATGCAGAAATTGTAGGTCAGATTCAGCATCCAAAGCAAGCCTGGTAGTGTGCATCCTAAGATGTACCATCCATGCAAGTTTGGTCAACATAGGGCTTATAGTTTCTCGGAAATGAGACCTACACCAAAAACTGCACCAAAAATGTTAACCTGCTCCAAAAACATTAACCTGGTTATTCCTTTGCTAAAATTGCAGCATCTGATACTTTGACTGGTACAATGAAACACACTAGAACCATCTTCCATGCATGTCTTATCAATATAGGACATAGAAGTACTTAAAAAGAAAACTGCTCCAAAAAACTTAACCTTAACCTGGGACGCTAACGCCGACACCGACGCTGACGCCGAGGGTATTACATAAGCTCCCCCAACTTCGTTGAGGTGAGCTAAAAACTAACCTTTTCACTAATCCGGAAAATGTAGGTCAGATTCAGCTTCTGAAGCCAGCCTAGTAGAATGCACCCTTAGATGTACCATCCATGCAAGTTTGGTCATTATAGGGCTCAAGTTACTTGGAAATGAATCCTGCACCATAAACTTTAACCTGTTTACTCATCCATAAAATGTAGGACAGATTCAGCATCCGAAGCAAGTATGGTAGTATGCATCCTAAGATGTACCATCCAGGCAAGTTTGGTCATTATAGGGTTCATAGTACCTTGGAAATGAAACCTGCACCAAAAATTTTAACCTGTTCACTCAACTGGAAAATGTAGGTCAGATTCAGCATCCGAAGCAAGTCTTGTAATATGCATCCTAAGATGTACCATCCATGTAAGTTTGATCAACATAGGGCTCATAGTTACTCGGAAATGAGACCTACACCAAAAACTGCACCAAAAATGTTAACCTGCACCAAAAACATTAACCTGGTCATTCCTTTGCTGAAATTGCAGCATCTGAAACTTTGACTGGTACAATGAAACACAATAGAAACATCTTCCATGCATGTCTAATCAATATAGGACATAGAAGTACTTAAAAAGAAAACTGCTCCAAAAAACTTAACCTTAACCCGGGACGCCGACGTCGACACCGAGGGTATCACATAAGCTCCCCCCAACTTCGTTGAGGTGAGCTAAAAATTAAAGGAAACCAATTTTTTTAAGACAATCTTTTAGAAATTGTTTGCCAGCTCCAAACCATCTGGCTAAAAATGACAATTCAAAAAAGATTTACCTATAAGAAGGAAACAACAATTATTATTATTTTTCATTCCGAAATTTTTTCATTCCATTGATGAGTTTTAACTAAGTTACCAAAAAATTTTTCCTACCTACTCAGTTCTTAACCTGAGTCCGTAGACAAACATTTTTTAACATTAATAAAAATGAACTGATCTATTTTTTTTCTTGGTATTTCAGCATTTTATTTCTTGTGATCTATAGTCAATTTGATCTTAACAAACTCAAATTTGTTGCAGTGTACTTTCTTTCACTCACAGAAATACTCTCTAGCTGCCCTGAGAGGTCCACCGCTGGGATTTCTTTGTACCAACCAAATGCCAGATTCCGCGTGACAGACAGGGTGATGTTGACCGGTTCTAATATTAGACACTGACCTACTACTGCCTTGCTCTCATTCAGCTCAGCTCTGTAAATTTGGGAAGAAATTTCTACATAAAAATCATAAATTGATTTCTTTAATGTATCACATACCCAAAATTCTATTTCCAACACTTTCAAAATCATGTCACACAATGGTTTTCAAATTAGTTTAACTAGGTGTGTATTTTACACTCTGAACTATCTTTGCTAAGTAGAGAAGATAAGAGTAATAATATATACATGTAATTCATTCAGCGTATACATACATTTCTGTTTATCCTTTCAAGTTGTAAACAATATTCTCAGACTCAGAAATTTAGTTATAAAGAGGAGATAAATCTAAATTATTCTGGCCATTTTTCTTGTACAACTAAAAATCTTTAAAATGTGTGGCTTAAACATTTAACAGGATGTCAAAAGATAACCTGATACCTTGCAATTTTAAGTGACTTCAGACAGATCTTCATGGAGTCCAGAACGGCCGGGATATCAGCCTGTGTCTTCACTGGACTGAAGGAATTCCCGACCTCCAGATGTCCAAAGTCCACCATCAGCACCTTGAGGGAGTCTGACCTCTGGGGTACGATAATGACTGGGGCACTCATCCCGACCCTGATAGACACACGGGGCGATTTCTCAGCGAGCCTGGCTACCGCACCCCTAGCGCTCTCTGCCACTGCCTCAGACGCCTCACGGACTCTGTCACGCGCCGCCTCTATCTGAGTTTCCAATTCCTCTACTTGGAAACCGGTCAGGTAATCCTAAATGTGAACAGTCATAAAATTAAATAAATACTCTACACCATGTAATCCAACACCTTGTCTGTTCAGATGAAAAGTTGTCTCAATATGCATGAGGGTATTTTCATTTACAAATTTTAAAATGAAATTTTGAGACAAATCTCTGCAAAGGCAGCTTTCCCATCACGAAATGTATTGTACTAAAATTTCTGTTATTTACCAGCAGGTCGTTGACAAATCTCATGAGGAACACAGCCCTGATACATCCGAGCTGTACGTCGACGCTCGTATCGATGCACGACATGTCGGAGTAGTTATCTCCCCCTGTCGCATCATTGTAAATTGTCAGCGCCAGCTTCAACACCGCATCACCCTGTATCTCCATAACCTACAGCAGAAATAAAGCTCTTATTTGTAATCTACGTCAGTCGAGCAAATTTTAAGTGACAAAATATTTTCACTAAGAGAGACAATCATTGCTTGATTCACAACAGGAAGAAATGGAACTAATTTTGAAAATAATATTATAGACATTTAACTTTAACTGATAAAAAGAGAGATTCATTATTTCTATGGTAAAAAATTATCATATCCTATATTTTTGAGCATTCCATAAACATTACTGTATTCAGGGTTATTTTCGCCCTTTCACCTTTGCAAATAATTTTGCCTCATTTTAAATTCATCCAGTTACAGTTTTGTTTATGAAAGAGTCAGTTCCTCAAGGTACAACTCTTACCTTTGGGTATTTTGTGTTAGGGTTGATGTCATACACAGTAACCTC